CCACACTGACAGTAAGAGGCTGGTTTAACTGTCTTTGTGATAACTCTTCTGTTTCTTTATAATTTTAGGACTTTTTTTTTAGACTGATGAACCGATTTATAGCAGATCCTCCAGCAGGTTTTCAGCCTGTAAATCATGAAAGATAATATCTCCATCAACTAGTATCTCTCTCTCACATATATAAATTTGTTGCTGTTGTTTACTGCCTTTGCGTCGAGCACGACTCATAACGACCCTATGAACAAAAGGCATGAAGCCCCTCTACAACTCTCGATATTTATCAGAGTTCATAGTTACCGGAGGCACAGCAGGACAGCCTTCTTTTCCACCTTTGATCATAAAAATTAAAGCTCAGGAAATCCTCTAGGATAGTATTTCGTCACCATATAGGGTCACCATGAGTCGAAGTCCACACAGTGGCCACACCAACAATATTCCTACCTATGCGTGTGCCTGCTGCTGCGTTAGGTGGCATCCAGTTGAGTACAGTTCATAGTGACCTTCTACTTACATCTAAATAAACAGACCTCAATGGACCTCCAAAAGAATAAACACACGTCTTAGAGGACGTGCAAGCAGAGGGCTCCTTTGAGGCCAAGATGGGGACATTTCATCATACTTATGTTGTCAGGAGGTGTGAGTCCTTGGAAAAAGACATCATGCTGGGAAATGTTGGGGCTCAGAGAGAGAGGAAGAAAGACCCTTCCAATCAGAGGGGGTTGGCACGTGACTACAACGGGCTTGAGCACAACAGAGATCACAGGGTCGGCACAGGAGAAGGCAGGGTTCCAATCTGCTGTTCACAGGCCTGCTGGAGGTTGTAGCCAAGCACATAACAGTACGTGTTTGTGTGTTGTATTCCAATGTAAAATCTTCAGTGTAAACAAACAGAAGGAAAAAAATCTCCTTACTCTCTATCATTTGTTGTTAAATGTAGATTGATAATAATAAATGCTAACCTCAGAGGCTGCTTATACCATTACCACAAAAAGTCTACAGATTATTCGTATGTGGGGATGGGCAGTGAATATGCCAACTTACCACTTTCACCAAAATTTTCTGCAAAATATGCATTCCATATGAGTAGCTCTCAAAATGTTCTCGAACCCCTGCTCCCCCCCGTACCACCTCCACCACAACGATTTTTCTCGTATGTGCTGAGCTGCATTGGGAATAACCCGGTCATCGCCCTCCTGTGTTTCTTACCTAAAGTTAAACATGGTTGACCTGTATAGGCTTTTTGTTTGCTGTGCTTTCATGCATTAAGAATTTAAATATATTCCGTTTTAGAGACCAGAATCTCAAGTACCAAGAGGTGATTGCGGACCCTGGATTGGACTCGCATTTGTCTGAAGCTCAGTTTCACCAGTTCTCCTTCCCCACACTGTTATCATCTCGGGAGGAGTGCCGACTAGACTGTTCGGGGAGAAAGGGAAAGGCCGTGTTCCCCTCTGTTCAGCCATGCGTGAAGAAGCACAAAAGAACAAACAGGTACAGGCCCAACCAGTGTCTCCACTGACCTTTTGGAAACTCTCCTTCACAAATGCCCTAAGGACATTGCTATGGCCAATTCTTGGAAGCAGCAGCAATGCCTCTCAAAAGCAGGGGTGATAAGACTCCACCCCACGTACTTGGGACATGCTAAAATCTCTCCTGGAGGGTGTGTGACTGAGCTCCTTGGAGGCAAGGCTGGTAAAACTTCCGCTCATATGTTTTGGGCATGTTGTCAGAAGGGGGCCAGTCCCTGGGGGGAAAAAACAACCATCATCTGGGATAGAGGATGGTCAGAGAAAGAAAGGAAGACCTTCAACTAGATGGACTGACATAGTGATGCCAACATTGGTCTTGAGCACGCTGGGGACCATGGGAACAGTGCAGGACAGGGTGTCTTCTGTGAGTCCCAGTAGACTTGATGGCACCTAACAAGGAGGAGGTCATCCCTGGAGAAAGCTATCACACTTGGAAAAGGAGACGGCCAGTCCAAGGGAAGGCCTTCAACAAGACGGACTGACAGTGATGGCCAACAACGGGCTTCAACACAGTAGATTGTGAGGATGGCACGAAATCCACCCTGTTGTCCACAGGATCACGATGAGCTGGTGGTTTTCATTGATTTCCAATGGCCCTTTATTCCAGAAATAGGTGGCCAGTCCTGCTCCGCGGTTTCCCTTGGTGGAAGCTCCAGTGAAATCTGGTCACCATGGGAGGGTGATGGGCCTGCTGGGGTTTGAGAAGCAATGGCATAACTTCCAACATCGTTGCAACATCCAAGTCACCACATACGACAAACTGCAGGTAAGTTGTAGGCTAAGTGTTGGGTCATTGTAGACGTTACTGGGCAATTAGCACCCACTCCCTGTAAAACCTATGACATAGGCAAATTTAAGCTTGCAAAATGTGGAAGTAGCTAGGGTCACGCTCAAGGAAACCCTGAAGGGGTGGGAAACAGTTAAAGGGGCTCATCTACAAACTGAAAGGATGATGGTTCAAGCCCATGCAGAGCTGCCTGGTAAGACCGGTCTGTTGACCTATTTCCAAAGCTTGAAAACTGTGAAGGAGCTCTCACTCTGCACACAGGGGTTCGCCATGAATGGGAATAGATTCATCGGCAATCAGGAACAGGGTCAAGTTCAGTCACTGCTGTTGTTGTCAGGCGCCAATGAGTTGAGTACAATGATTGATGACAACAGAGTTAGTGAAGGGGGAGGAGGGACTACTGAAAGAGTCAAGAAATGATATTTCCCTTTCTCATTAAAGAATTGGTGTGCATTTCTGGACGTTCTATGAAATCTCCCACTTCTTGAACCCTGTCCCCAAATACAGAAGGTTTGGGACCTGTGCAAACAGATGGCCAGGAGGTAAGTTTTGGAGACATTAAGAGGTGGAGGTGAATTCCATCTGTTGGTATAGACTTATCTATTGTAATGCCTCAAGGCCACTCCTTGGAGGCAAGGATTTTGAAGCTCTGTCTCACTTTTGAGTATGTTGCCAATGGGGAAGAGCCCTTAGAGGACATCATGCCTGGAGAAGAAGAAGGTCAGTGCAAGGGAAGGATCCCCTGGGTGAGACGGACTGACAGTGACTGTGGCAATGGGGTCTGGTTGTCAGGACTGGTGAAGGTGGCTTGGGGTAAGGCAAGGTTTAGAGCTCTTGTGCATAAGGTTGCTAAGAGCTGGTGCAGAACATCCATTATAATAGAATATTGTCACAACAGATGTGTGAAGGAAAATACTAAGGGATTCAAAATGGATAAGCTTCCAGCATCATAAAGTTTAAGACCCTTGTGGGTGAGGCCAGGGACACCCAGAGAGGTGACTTAAGCCCTCAGTCATCAGTGTCAAAATAAAAAAAAAAAAAAGGGGTCAGGTCAGCAGAGGCCAGCACCAGGCCCATGTCCACCTGGTGGCTGTCTCATGGCCCCTCTCTGCTAGGGACCCTCTTCCATCGCTATTCTACATCACAAATAAGAGAGGAAAGGAGAAATGACCTCCAGGGCTTTCACCATTTATACACATCTGGTTTGTTCGTATAAAATCACCTGTGTTCTCCCATCACCTTCCAAATCACTTCCTTCTCTGGTCTTGAATGGATGTGACTGGACTCACTAGTTTTCTAAATAAAAAGCCCTGTCATTTTTTTTTTTTTAAAGTGTGCCAGGCCACAGACATAGTCTTGGCCTGAGCCTCTTCCAAGGTGACTGGAAGTCCCTCACTGGGTGGACTGACACAGTGACTGCAGCAATGGGCTCAAGTGTGTCAAGGATTATGAGAATGACACCGTTGATAGAATGGAATTCAGATCCCTGGTTCATACTGTCCGAGTGGTACTCAATACAGCAGCACCTCTACCAACAACAAGAAAATGACATACGATGATTGTTTTTACAGCTCATGTTCTCCAAACTGTAAGGACCTGTAGCTTGTATTTTCTAGCCAGTTATACCCAAGACAATGCCCAATTCTCTCTTGCCTTGGGTAGGTCCAAGGGTGGGCTGGAGAGTAGAAAAAGAAAAACAAAAGTCTTTATGACTTCTTTTTAATTGTTTTAACTTTATTACTGTTGCACCATTTATACAATTACATATAATTTCAATGCATCCATTGTACATTTTTTTTTGTTTTTTATTTTTATTTTTTCCATTTTCCAATGAGTGGTGTGTTGGTGTCGGTGACACAGAATGGAAGAGAAACTTGAACTGCAATGAACGCAGACTTTTTTTTTATTATTATTATTATTATTTTTTCATTTCCACTGACCAATAAACAGAACTACAGGTGCACCCAACCACGGACATGCATTAACTCGTCATGAAAATTCTAGGTAGGCTAAGTAGAATGAGAGAAATGTTTGTTACTCCCAAAAATATCTGGAGAGGAAGAATGGGGGGGTTAGGGGGGGCGGCTGGCATGGAGATCCTTGTGGATAAGCTAAGTGGGCCCTGTCTGAAAGTTGGCATTCATCCTCCACGACATTTAAAAAAAAATAATATATATCCAATTTAAGAAAAGGCTGCAAAGGAATACAGAAGACACAGAAAAATACTGCTCTCGTCAAGATCAGAGTGCCTTGGCACAGGCCTCGCGGGCAGAATGGAACGCACGGCTCCCAACCAACCCCCGCTGGAGAAGAAACAAAAGAAAAGAGTCTGGGGTCTTGGCGGTGGGGTGCATGGAACAGCGGTTCAGGTACGGAGATGGACTCTACTTTCAGACGCTTATCTGGAAAACCCAGAACTACCTGGTAAGGTTGACGGAAGGTATAGTAGATATTTCCCCCACAAAAATACTATTTGGATTCTCCCCACCCCCTCCCTCCCTTGATGGGACAACATTCTTTTTTTTTTTTTTAATCCTTTTCTTTTATTCCTTGGGCAATACATATCGTTACTTCCAATCAATCTGAAACAAGTTAGTATAGCAGAGAACGAGAGAGAAGAGAGAGACAGAGAGAGAGGAGCGGGCTGTCTCGGAGGCGCGCCCGGCTCCCGGGCTGTGTCCCTGTTACTCCTTGGCGGCCACGGTTTGGTCGGGGTTCGCGGCCTCGGCGGGTGTGGCCTCCTCGGTCGGGGCCGCGGGGGCCTGGGCCTTGGGTGTAGAACTGGGCGCCTCCGTGGCCGCGGGGGTCTCCTTGGAGGAGGGGGCAGCCTCGGCGCTGCCCGGTTTAGAGTCTGAAGCCGGGGCCGCGTCACTTTTGGTCTCCGGGGCGGCGGGAGCCTCAGTCTTTTTGGCCTCCGCGTCCTCCTTGCTCTTGTCATCGGCGGCAGGGGGCGCTGTGGCGTCGGCCTTGGCCGTGGCCGTGGCGTCGGCCTTGCCCTCGGCGGCGGCGGGCTCGGCGGACTTGCCCTCGGCGGCGGCGGGGGCCTGCGGCTCGGGCTCCGGCTCCTTGGCGGGCTCCGCTTTGGCCTCGGCCGCCCCCTCGGCCTTGTCGGGCTCGGCCTTGGGCGCGTCTTCCTGGGCTCCGGCGGCGTCCTTGTCGCCCTCCTTGTCTTCGGGCTGGGCCGCGGGCTCCGGCGCGTCCTTGTCGGGCTTCTCCTCCTTGCTCTCCTTCACCTCGGTGGGCTCGGCCGCGGCCTGGCTCTCATTCTCCTTCGGGGTTCCCTCCTCTTCGGTCCCCGTCCCCTCGGCCTTCTTGTCCTTGTCCTTGGCCTTCTCGTCGTTCACATTGTACCCCTTCTTCTTCTTGCTCAGCTTGCCTCCCATCTTGGAGTTCTGCAGGGAGACACAAGGGAACAGCAAAAAAAAAGGGTTACTTGCCAAGAATCAAAATGCAGCAGCGGGTGGGGGATGCATAACGCAGAGGAGGTTGTGTGCCATCAGGTCAGGACCCACTCATGGCTGTGGCCCTCCAGCAGGTTTTCAGAGGCAGTTAAGAATGTCTACCCTGCGGCTGTGCGGGTGGATTTGAACCACGGATCTTTGGGATTGCAACACAGCTTCTTACCACTAGGCTACAAAAGCTTCACAACATAGTATAACTGAAACCTCTAAATTGAGCCCAGTGATGTTGATTCCAACTCACAGGGCCCTTCCACTGGGTGTCTGTAACGCTAAATCTTAAGAGGAGACTGCCCACTTTCTTCGGAGGAGTAGCTGATAGATGACACCTTTCTGTTAGTGGTCCAGTGTTTACATACACTATGCCACCAGGGCTCCTTAGGAAGATTAAAAATGAAAAAAAATCAAACCACTGGCACTGAATCGATTGCTCATAGTGAGTCATCACTGGGTTTCCAAGACTGTGTTTTTACAGGATGAAACTGCTCAACTTTTTCCAGAGGAGCAGCTGGTGGATTTGAACTGTTGACCTTTTAGTCAGCAGCCCCTCACGTTAGTTATGCTCTACACCCTAGGGCTCCTTTGTGAAGACAGACGGTTCCTGTGATTCCAAAGCAAAGAGCTCACTCAGGTGTGGAGCTCCGCACTGCCACAAGATGGGGAAATAATAGGCTGAAATCCATCCATCGGTGGTGAGAGGCAATGCCCATCGATTGTCAAAAGAGGAAGGCAGTATTTATTTCTTATCTGTATGTCAAGACTTGAACCCCTGTCTACAAAATGGTTGAAGCAGCCATTTTAGATCTAGAATAATCAACATGGTTTCAGCAATTTAAAATCCCAGCAGAAAAAAAGTCCAACTAACAGGGGAAACTGTCCAGAGAAAATACAAAGACCAATATTCTTGAAAATAATCCAAACTATTTCAAACCTTCTACATATGTGTCCATATATAAGCAAACACATCAGCAAAGATCAAAGTTGAGAAGGATTCCTTCGAAGTACGTTTTCAGAAAGGAAGACCATGGGCTAACCCCCACTATGTGTTGGTTACTGGCTGCCCTTAATTTGTGTTCATTAAAAAAAAAATTTAAAAAAATCTTGGTTAAAACAGAAAAACCATAGTAACATCAAATTCTTCTTTATCATCTTGATTAGAATGCAAACTATATGTGCAAGTTCAGTGGCCCACCCCATAACTACAGAGTTACTTTTTGTCATAGAGCAGTTTGTGTTTATAAATTATATACGGTATATACTTTCCCCCTTCTCCCTGCCTTATTTTACCTAATATTTCTTTTACTTTGTATCTTGTGTATATCAATTCCCCTGAGGCTGCCACTGGGACTCTGGCTTAAGGACCTTTGCTTATACTGGAATCTTGAATTTCCCCCGTCTGCTCTCAAAATAGATCACATCAGCCCAGGGCAGTTTCCAGAACTAACCAATTACTGCTTCCCCCCCCCCTTTTTTCTTCAAGTACATTTTTATGGCTTCCTATATCAGCAAGAACCCACCGAAATGCTACTTTTTGGAAGAAAATGGATTGATTTCTGGGATAAAGGATGACTTACAGCCTGGCAGAAACAAATCAGTCTCCAAACAAGTCAAATGAGAGTGAGGAAATGAGCCCACCTGCTCCCGCCCAGCCAAGAACCAGGCCAGAAGAATGACAAAGCACTTGGCTGGGGATGGAACTGTGCCCCGAAATGCTACACTGAAGGTGTAAACCTGATAGTTGAACATATCTCTTTGTTTGGAAATAGAAGTCTTCAGTTATCAACGATTTCATTTTACTTAGATCCAACAGACAACACCCCCAGAAGAAGCAATCTAGAAGTCAAAAACAATTCTGTCCCCATTCTATCCCTAACACCCTCCCTCCACTCCTTGTCAGTCCTATTTTATAACAGCAGTGTCTGTCCTTTTGTGATTGAGATACTGGGGGAGAAGGAAAAGAAAATGAAAAAAGTATTATTTTTTTTAAAAAAGAAATCAAATAAGAACCAACTCACAGATGATCCTCTAGTGGGTTTTCAGAGGTTGATTGCACAGGAGGAGATGGCCCATCGTTCACCTGCAGAGAAGCTGGTGGATGGATTCAAGTTGTCAGAGAGAAACTGCCTTTGGGCTAGCAGTGCAATTCCTTGTGGAATACATCAGAGCCCGTCCCACCACAAAAATATGCTGTTTAGCTTCAAGGTCAGCTTCTGTTCCCTTGTTGTTATGTGTCGTCGAGTCGTCTGTGACTCCCTAGTGACCCCTAAACCCTGCTCTATCCTATTCCAATCTTACTGTCTTACACCTACCCCCATTACACTAGTCACTGAATCAATCCATCTCATCGAGGGTCTTCCTCGCCTGCACTGTCCCTCCACCCTTCCAAGCATGAGGTCCCTCTCCAAGGACTGGTCCCTCCTTGCAACATGCCCAAAGTATGTCAGACGAAGCTTCAGAATCCTTGCCTCCAAGAAGTAGCCTGGTTTTACCTTCTACAGGACAAACCTGTTCGTTCTCTTAGCAATCCATGGTATATTCAATACTTGTTTCCAGCACCACCACTCAAAGGCATCAACTCTCCTTCTATCATCCCTAGTCATTGTCCAGCTCTCTGATGCATAGCAAGTAATTGCAAAGACCATGACCTGTATCAGTCTTTAAAAATGGAATGGATTTTGGTCATAATTCATTTCAGATAACCAATGGGCGCCATCTGGTGCAATTTTTTGTTTGTTTTTTACTTATTCCCTAGAAGAACAAACATATAGCACAAATCAATTACACATACTTTCATCCCACAAGAAGTCACAACGCAATAAAATAAACTGGCCCATTATTTTTGAATTGCAGTAAGTCTCTGTGTGACTTTGTATTGGCCATCATGTACAGGTGTTATATACCCACTGCCAGAGAGCTGATGTTGAGACACAGTGATCCTCCATTGGGTTTCTGAGGCTATGAATCTTTTTCTTTTATAAATTTATTTTATGTTGGTTTTACATAGAAGACTCATATACACTGTGCCTCATTCATATACATTATGCTTCCCACATTCCTTCATTCACAGTGTTTCATATAATCAGGTATATACACTGAGTTATATAAAATCACCCACCCTTGATCTGTGCCTACCATTTACCTTGTCTTTCCTGTTCCTATCCTGCAGCCCTCTTTCCCCTCATAAACCCATTAAATTTGGCTATCCTCATGATTTCCCTCCTGAGGCTGTAAACCTTTATGGGAGGAGACTACCTATGTTTCTCCCAAGGAGCAGCTGGTAGAATTGAACTTCCAACCATGTGGTTAGCAGCCTGACACGATGCCACCAGGCTCCTAGAAATGGTCTATAGTAAATCTCATTCCATCTGTTATGAGAAGGAGATTTAAAAAAATATCAACACCCAGACTAACTGTGAGGTCAGACATGACAATCATCTTCCCGTTCCGTAACAGAAACCCAGGCACCAACCTGGAAATTAGAGAATAAAAGACAAAAGTGTAAGTACAGGATGCATTGCCTGTATGAACACAGAGGGTTGCACCCGCAGAGTGAAATCCTCCAGAGCTATTCCCACAGGTCTGGTGCTCTCAAACTTAACATCCAAGTGACTAAAATCGGTTTTCTGAAATAAATAAAGTGATAGTCACATTCAACACCTTGCTTCAAAAGCCCAGTGATTAGTTTGGGGTTGTTGTTGTTCTTAGGTGCCATCTAGTCAAGCATGACTCTTAACAACGCCATGAACAACAGATCTGAGCTCTGGCCTATCCTGTGCTATCTTCACACTCCCTGACACAAAAAAGAGCCCACTGCAGCAGTCATCTTGTCAATCCACCTGATTCAAGGTCTTCATCTCCTTCACCGACCTGCCACCCTTCCCAGCATCATGTCCTTCTCCAAGGAATAGCACCTCCTGGCAACATGCCCACAGTATGTGAGGTGAAGCCTCATCATTCTGTCTCCAAAGAGCACTCTGGCTGCACCCTCCCCAAGACATATCTATTCATTCTTTGTGCTCTTCACCACACACAGCTCAAAGGTGTCAACTCTTTTTCTTTATTAAAATAAGTCCACAGGACTTATTTTTTTTTCTTTACTCTTTATTAAAGTAAGTCCACAGGAACTGAGGTATGATCTTGAATCAATTCCATCTGAATTGCATGATCACCTTAAGAATAGGTTTGAGGCACTTATGATCAAAAACTAGATGAGTTGTGGGATGGTATCATCCATGAAGAAAGCAAAAGTTCATTATAAATAAAGAGGAGAAAGAAAAAAAAATCTAAATGTATGTGAGCAGAGCGTCTAAAGATTGCACTGGCATGCTGAGAAGCCAAAACAAAAGGAAAACATGTCTAAGTAAAAGTGCTGAACAAAAGAATTCAAAGGGCAGCTTGGGAGGACAAAGCAAGGCATTATAATGGAATGTGCAACAAGCTGGAATTGCAGGATAAAAAGGGGAGAACTCGCTTTGCATTTCTAAAGCTGAAAGAGTTGAAAAGCAAACTTAAAATTCATTCTGCAATATTGAAAGATGCTAAGGGCAAGATATTGAATGACTCAGAAAACATCAAAAGAAGATGGAGGGAATACACAAAAGCATTGTATCAGAAATAATTGATTGACACGGAAAAATTTGTTTCCATTCCAACTGAATGTGGAAACTATCGAATAATATCATATGTAAGCAAAATAATGCTGAAGATCATTCAAAAACAGCTAGAACAGAACAGTACATAGATAAGGAACAGCCAGAAGTTCAAGCAGGATTTAGGACAGGGATATCATTGCTGATGTCAGACGGATCCTGGCTGAAAGTAAGGAATACCAGCGGACTGCCTATCTGTGCTTTATTGACTATGCAAAGGCACCTATCTGACTGTGTGGATCATAACAAGCTGTGGCTGACACTGAGAGGAATGGG